CCCACAGAGACAACACGTTACCCGGCATGCACCGCTCCCTCCCGATCCAAATGGTAAGTAGCACAAATCAAAAGGACCACAGCAAGCTGGAACCTGTTGTCTCCGCGGGTGGTACCCTGCATCTGTATTGGAGGCGAAGGCAGCTGTAATCTCTTGGGTTTTATGCAAATGGGATGCAGCGCTTTGGCTCCTGGCTAGCTGCCAGAAAAAAAAAAACAAAACCAAAAAACCCCAAACCAACAAAAACCACCACCCTTGTCAATATGAAGTTTGTGTAGATCAGGAAACCCTATTATTGGAATTTGCATAAAAAGCGAAACATCAAAACACAGTTGGCATGTTTCTTCTCAGGATGTGGGAAGGGCACAAATACAAATCTTATCTCTTAACCTAGCCATAATTTAAGCTTTGCTTTCTATTGTGGCTCTGAACTACAACCTTGCAATTTTAATACAATTAAGACTATTCAAGGTTTTCAGGAATCCTATCGCATCATGGTTCTCATTTTCCACGCACTTTTTAAACTGTTAACAAAAAGGGTGAGCACTCGAACTACAGGAACAGTTACTTGGAGATTCAGCCTTGGCTTACAGTGAACTGGAGACAGAAATCAGTCTGGTGAGAACACACACCGCTTCCTAGCTCCCTGGACAGCCCTGCGGCCAGCACAACCCAGGGCTGAAGCACACCATGGCACTGCAGTAGCTGAAGGTGGCATTGCCACTGATGGAGTCCGAGTCCAGCTACGCTTGCTGATGCTGCCTTCCTCAGGCACCCGTTCTCCACATAGGCAGAAGTCAACATCATGCCTGGAAACTGCAGGAAGGATCAGGTGCCTGTGCCCTGGCCATGCCGACAGGTCTGGCATCGGAGCGCGAATCTGCAATTGCCAGCTGAGGCACCGCACTTTGCAGGGACACACAGGGACACGTTCCTTGCTGCTGACTTTGCTGCAGGGCAGCAGCTGCCAGCAAGGGGTGGAAAAGGGAGTAGGATCTGTCTCCTCTCTCTCAGCTGCCCAGGCCAGATGCTCCCTGCCAGCGTGCTCACATGCCACACACGCACTCATTGCTGCAGAACGCAATCTCTCAGAAAGCAAGAACAGTCCAAAAAAAGGCCCTGTTCTAACCCTGCTGAGTAGATTCAAGAAGTTACACGTTGGTTTTGATTTTAAAGTAGATAGAAAAAAGTTAAAAATGGAGAGTAACTTGCAAAAATGTTCCAGAAGGATTTCTGCTGCCACTCAAGTTGTGCAACATGCTCAACTGGGGAGACTTATTTCCATGCAAGCTGCTTGGCATGAAATCCCACTGAAAGGCCCTGTGGTTCCCTAACGCTGTCATGACGTCATGATTTAGGATTTTTAGAGCAATCAGCCCAACACAGCTGGTGTCATGGTTGCCATTATACCATGAAACACTGAGTGGTTTTAAATGAAAAAGGTTTCCCTATTTGAAATGCATAGATTTCTTCCATCTTATTCTGTGGACTCTTAAAACCAAAGCAGTTCTGTAAGCAGAGTATAGCTGATGTTTAAACAGAGCAGGAAGTAGTGCTTTAACTGAAAATAAATCTGTCAACAAGAAGGCACAGGGAGAGCTCCACTTCAGACTTTTCAGGTTCTTATTAAAAAATATAAATTAAAGTCAACATTTTCACATTACTTGCTACATCTGTTTGCTATTCCATTAGAAATAAAAATATAGTGGCCTCCAATTCAGCCTTGGTTCACTCAAAAGAAAAAAGTATTTTTAATTTAATACTGCATCATAATTGCTCTAGATTGTACTACATTACCAGAAGAGGTCCACAAGAAATAAGCTATACATTACCCAAAGTCAAGTTGGGAGATTAAGACGACCTTTGGCAACGTACTATCTTTCCCTCTCTAAAGGAGGAAGGACAGCAAGGTTATGGAAGCACATCCCTATTGTAGGAACCTTGCTGACTGTCACAAGCAGGTCCAGCTCTGCACTCTTTGCAGAGACAGTTGTGAAACCAAAAAAACCACAAACTAAACCCTATCTCCAGAGGCCAGGGCAGTTGAGCAGAGTTCAGGCCCACACCAGCTTTAAAGGAAATCTTCCAAAGATTTAAACAACTCCCCTGTCACCCTGCGCTCCTGCCAAGCACCCCGCAGCATACTTTACCTGGGACAGCAGAATCCCAAAGTCCTTCAAGAAACAAAGAGACTGATACCCATTTTCTTAAACACGGCCTTTATTAAATTCCCTGCTGGAGAACAAGAGCCTTCCAAGCGCATAGGAAAACCACTGCATTCC